GCCCCCCGCACAGGTGGGTCGGAAGCAGGCCTGACATCTGCATTGGGCACTGTCTAGTCTGTATGTTTATGAATGCAGTGGGCATGGAGAAAGGGTGTGGGGTGTACTACATGAGATGGCCGCTGTGCAGCGGTGCTGCAGGCTGCGATGCAGAAGCAGGCCATGGCCAACCATTCGACGACCCTGTCTTCTGGCGTCGCATCTGTTCCAAGTCAGTTTCACATGGCTCTTTGGCGCATTGCTTCGAGCGTAGGAGCATGGGTCAGCGACTCACAGGCGCAACCCTTCCGGCACCACAGAAGGCGCTGCTGAGTACCGTGACTGCGGACACGGCCGGTCTACGAAGTACTTCTACGTGCATCCAAAGACGGCTAGGGGTGCAAGGCTTACTTGAACGCTTGGCAGGCGGTTGCGCCAAGTCCTCCTTGCCCTGTACTGATTCGTGTGCAAGCAGGCCGCCCTGAGCCAGTGGAGCTGCGCCCAGGGAACGGATGTCTCGGACCGTGAGGGTCTCGGACGTTGAGATGGTCTGTGAACGTGTCAGGGACGACTTGTCGGACGCGACGATGAATGACGGCGTGGTATTTGGGGACGCCAAATGGGTGGAGTTTGGACCAATCCCTCCGTCTGGACCCCTCCCGAAGCATGGCACAGTCTTGCCCTGAAAATCCTTCACTTACGTGTGACTGAAATCGGGGAGTGGAGAGCCCAAAAGGGAGTTGCAAATCATGGGGCATCAAGCGACTCCCTAGAGATCCAAGTACCTTCTCAGCAGGTGATTGGAGACACCGCTATGTAGGTTTGGAGGGTCCAAGTACCTTCTGAGGTTCGGTACGACTGGATCCCTAGGGACTGCAAGTGATTGACACCTTTCTGGCCGACCCCATGAAGTTCTTCACTCGCATGTCTTGGACAGCCGAAGGCCGCATGGGGGCCAACAATGGAAAGCGCTCCCGCCGTGGTGAAGGACAAGGCCGGGGGCTTTCCGGTAAGCGTCGGTGAGGTCCCCACGCGGTGAATAGATGGAACATGGCTCCGTTGCTGGGTTTTGTCATGCTTTAATAGGATGGAAGGATACAGGGTGATGAAAGTTATACTCGCCAACCTTGACAGGTAAAGATTCATGGCAAGGTCTGTTGATTAGAATGATTAAGTCTATTTATATAGGACCCATTGGTCGAAAACGGCTGGAGATGTTGGAAGCAGGAGGTTTTTTTGTCTTTGATTTTAAGCAAGTTACGAACCGGCCATCAAAGTGTACACAGCACAAGGAAGGAACCAACCACGTCTTGGGTTTTAACATGTCTTAATGGTAGATGATCAGAGATCGATGGTAAAAGGTGCCGAACTTGGAGGGTTTCTGAGGTGCCTTCGCAGCCCCTGGATGGGACACAAAAACATGTCGACATGGAACTGCCTTACTAGTAGTAACAGGTGCCTTACTAGTAGTAACAAGTGCCACGCTACTAGTAACAAGTGCCACGCTACTAGGAACAAGTGCCTTACTAGTAGTAACAAGAAGCTGCTAGTTCCTTTTCGTTTGGCTTTGATACGCCGTTGGACCGGCCCGTTAGACCCGCCAGTCTACTGGGGCGCGACTGTTCCCGCAAAGAGCCGGCAAAACGACAGGTGCAGTGCAGGGCTATGTGCCTCAGAATGGCCTTCTCTCCGTCGGGGGACCTTAGAGAGGTCAGGGCTACGTGCGAGTCACCCTGAAGTGGATGGAAGATGAAACAGATTGGGTTTATAGGCATCACCAAATAGAATCGTTTCACCGTTTCCAAGACAGTGCGAGGGAATTCTACCTTTCTACACCTTATTCGGTGCAATGATGCAAGTGCAACAATATTCAACACACAGTTCGGCAACCTTTCTGACTAGAACCCCACTGAAAGTACATGAAAGTACTATCAGATCAGTCTACTGTAGGTGGACCCTGAAACATGGAGCGGGAAGAAAGTAGATTTAGAATTTGCATTTCGATTGTCCGCATCTAACAACACTCCGTGCTAGTGCGCGGCAAATGCTAGACAGGCCACGCTTCTGTGCAACCCTTGACACCCAAACGGCCCAACCATCGCCCAAGCGGTCCGTGGTGCGAAGTCGCAAGCCGACAACGCCATGTCGCCGGTGGTTTTGGCTCATGCGGCACTGGCACCACAAAATCTCGCTCCAGGTTTCGAGGAACAGAGGTGACTGACCCGAGTTTTGGGGAGTTTGAGAGTCGATGGCACTGGCTTATGGAGCTTTTTCTTTTTGGTCTAAGACACCCCTGGGGCCCCCTGGCTGAAGCCATTTCTCACCTCTGAAGCCATAGATGCTCTGAGGAGTGAGGTACACACACCCACGGGCAGATGGCGCAATTCCCAGAAGCCGACCAGTTTCATAAAATTATAGAAACCCAAGTTCAATTATATACCCCTTCCCTCCCCGTGCCATCATGGATTTTGGTTCCAAAATCAACAAGAAAGGGTTCACCCTTCCCAACACCATGCATTTTTCAGCACTTGTTCCTGTACCTCAAAAGAATCCGAGAAAACACAACATAAGACACAGACCGCAAGGAGGTCAGGGGAGAACACATGTCCCTATTTGCCCAGACGCAACCCATGAAAACAGCCGGACCTCCTGGTCCCTCCAAAAAACCGGGACCTCTAGAGATTGCTTCGACCCAATTCGACCCCTGACCCGTCAACCCTTCGGCCTTCGACCCCTCTCGCGGTCGGGTCTGATGTCGGAAGCGGACTTCACCCTTCGCCGCTCAGGTCCCGACCCCGATCCGCAGCACCAGCGCGCCCAGCCTACCAGGTGGCGGTAGAGAACCGGGTCGGTTCAGCCAAATCGAAGCAGGATCCGATTGGTCCAACATGTTCCTTCCTCACAGATGCTCAAGACTTCGGCCCAACTTCCATTGCGCCAAACCATCCGTTGGACAGTTTCCCAGCGTTTTTCCAGGTTCCGGCAGCACACCGTCAGGCGAACCGCCCCTGGCGCCACCCGAACCACCGGGTCCACCGGCACACGGCGCATGTGCTCCGTGTCCTCCGGGCTTGGGCGCTGCGATGCCGGAGGGCCCAGGCGCGAAGCGGCGCGAAGGTCAGGAGGATGGCCTGCAAGGCTACTGGCGATGACTAGGATGTACCTGGAACCCAGTTTTGACCCCTGTTTTGATAGGAAGTTTGGCCATACTTTGGGGTGGAGGGTGGTCCAAAATAGAGGTCATTCAGGTTCTAGGTAAGACCTAGATGATACATGATGTACCAGCACCCGACTCGAACAAGGTCTCCAGGTGGCTGAAATGGAGACTTCAAAGTGGAAGGTGGTGACCTGTTGGAGGGTAATGATATGTGTGATAGAAATTGTGGGTCTTCTGGAAACATGTTAGAATTATTGAGAATACATTCGAGTTAAATCATTCTGAGATCTGGTCATGTCCCAGAATGGGATGGGGATGGAAAGCATTGGGGAGCTTTTCTGTTTGGATTTCATCGATTCTGTTCACCTTGAATACGACTTACTTGTTCATGACGTCATTCACTGTCCATTCACCGGTGACCTTCGATCAGTCTCAGCTGACAGAAGAACGGTTCCCAGTTCGCATGGAGCAAAACATCCCTTTAAATTGATTTGGGCAGCGCCCGAAGAATCAAAGGACCCTCAGCTGGTGAACTTGGTTCTTTGCTTCCTTTTCGGGTCCCAACGCCCGAAAGCCATTCGGCTCGGGTCGGGTCGGAGAAGGACAGCAGATCGGAGTTCCGGTGCGCCTGATGGCGACTGGAAGACCATCGATTTAGGTGGGGTCGTCGATCACCAGCGCAGCACAGCAAACAAAAGCCACAGAAACCACGAAAGCCACGCCAAAATGTGAGGAAAAGATCCAACCGACCCGGAGTCACATGGAGACCGTGTTGTTGTTCTTCGTCACCTGTCGGCCCTGGAAGAGACCCACATAGAACCAGTTTCAATCACTCTGTGTGTATTTCTTTCAAAGCATTTTACACCCGGGAAGGTTAACATGGAACCTGAAAATGGACCTTTGGAAGACTACTTTCCTCTACAAACCAGTGGTTTTCAGGTTCCATGTATAATCTTCCAGAGTGGAATCAGAAAATCGTCTTCCATGCTGGCTTGGCCCCATTCTGGTCTCGAGTCTCACACCGGGTTTCAAAGTGGGACCTGAGTGCATGGGCGGCATGGGCCACCCATCACCTCATTCTGGACTGGAGCTTTCTTCCTCTACTCACGCTCCGACCAATATGGGATTTCATCAATTCAATTGCATGACATGGGTGCAAAGAGGATTCTGAAGATTACCAAACAGGTGGCTTTCCCACCAAACCGTATATATGCGACATCTTTTTTGCTTTTCGAGACTCCAAAGGGTTCGCCCGCCGCCGAGGAAGTCCAGTCCTGAGGCACCGGAGAGAGGGCGAGAGGAGAGGACTGCAGCGAGAGAGGGCGTGAGGACCTTCGGCAGTGGGTACCTTTCTTAGACTGGTTGGGTGTTCAGCTACTTCGGCAGCTCGAGTTGCTTGGGTGTCAAGTGTTGCACTTTCTTGGGACGTGTTGGATATGCAGGGCTTTGTTGGAGACAGTGGCTAGCCGTGGCAACATTCATGTGTTTAGGTTGGCGCATGTCCTGTAAAAGAAGGGAACTCCCAGTTTGTCCTGTAACAAGGCGGAAGAGTTGAACTGATGGTTCTATATATTTGGATCAGCTCTTCGTTCGATGAACCCTTCAGAAGACATCCACTCACTCACCCCCCTTGACCGATCAAGGACCGACCCCACAAACACCACGACCCCACCACTCGAGAGATGGGACCGTCCGGGTGCTCCGACGGTCTCTGGGGTTCAGTTCGGACAATGGACAAGGTCTCTACCTAGGTCAGGGCCAGGAGGTTCTCCCTCTTAGACATAGGGTGAGCCCAAGAGGTCAAGGAGACAAGACCTCTACCTAGGCCAGAGCCATCATATTTTCATGTCTCCTTTGGCTAAAGGTCTTGTCCCGATCCCCACATGGCAGGGCCCAGCCGAGCATGGGGTGTGTTCCACAGGCAATGACGATGCTTCTCTCCACCAGCATCGTGAAACCTGCGTGAGACCTGTGCTGCTCGGCCCCCTCACCTCTCCTCCCGCCCACTTGAGGCCCCCTCTTCTCCGATGGTCCAGGCCTCGCGACAGGGCATCATGAACCACTTGCCGTGGCTGGCGGAGAAGCGCACCACGTCGGGGAGTCTCAGCATTTAAACAGCTGCTGTTTTGCATAGATGAACATCGTTTTCAGAGTCTCCACTTCCGTGGTGAGCATCGTCTACCAGCACCGAACCCAACAGGTCTCCGATGGCTGGAGGGTTGGGAAAGGCCCTGTCACAGGTTTCAATTGGTGACCTGTTGGAGGTGCTGGTATGTTTGTTTTTTTTCCATCACCATCGTGGGTTTTTCACGAAGCGGGTGGACCGTCCAAAGCCTTTTTGAGGCCCAGTCACCTGTGAACTCCGGTTCCCCCGGGCGCGCGCTCGGTGCGAACCGAACAGAGCCTGAAGTGGGGTACAGTTTTGGGACCAGTTTCCCAAGATGCCATGGCTCAAGGCCTCATGAATCAAGTTTGGGTTTATCAATGTTTATCCCATCGATGGCTAAAGAGTGGGCAACAAGATTGAAGATCTGGGATCCAGTTCATTAATCCATGAAGCAGGCCCCCAGGAGTGGGACCCCCCCAAAAAAGAAGACAAGCTGAGCTTAGTGAGTTGTGGCGACATACCAAACACCCCCCCAACACCCTCTACTTTGGGTGGACATCCTTGGATCACTTCCAGAAAAGCATCAGGTGGACGAACTGAAACCATGCACCATCGACCGCCTTCTGGCCTTCCAGGCTCTTGCAGCTTCTGGCGGAATGGTCGCAGAGCCAAGGTGCCGAGACGCATCGCACGCCACGGAGAGGTGTGTTGGAGAAGGAAGACACAGAAACTCAACCCGAAGCCTTCAACGCAGTAGTCACGTTGAGGGAGTGGGGTGCCGAACCTCATGGAGGAAGGTTATAAGGTGGAGGAAGCCCCTGAACCACATCCACGGGGCGCTGAATGGGACGAGCCACACCACCCAGGGTTTCCATGTGACTCCTGGAAAGACTTTTTTTTTCAAACATGCTTGACTTCCTGGAGCATCCTGTCTGGGTTGTTTTGTCTGGAGATCCCGGATGCTGGGCGGG